GTAGAGACAACAGGCTAACAGCAACTGACATCTATGGCTACCTCACCTATCTACACTAGGAGCATTTCTTGGGAATTTTCACATTTATAGTCTCCAAGTAATTGTATCCCTCTAAGCTATCAAGTGAATTTGGACTATTTGGAACTAACATATCCTGGAATAAAACCTCTGAGAGGAAAAGAAAAACAAAAACAAATCAGCAGGCAGTCTAAATTATAAAAATAGATTATTTATCCCCATGAGAGTCAAGGAAGCTATTTTAATTTTGAATTTGTAAAAAAGAAACCCATAAACATCTAATACTTTTTTCCCCAAAATTGGCTCTATTGACAAAATGTTTTTAACTGCCAGGACAGAAGCCACCTGGGACACCAGTCCAGGGGAACTCAAGGGCCTGGTGGCACTGCATTTCCTAGTTTTCATCCTGGGTTTCAGGATATCAAATTTCTCTTTTCTTTCCCTGGCAAATCCTATCCTCAGTTCTCCTACTTGAAGACCATTTCTTTGCTGATAAGCCTCATATTGGAAGTTTCTTCTCCTCTGGCTTCTGTGGGTCTGCTCTGGCCTCAGTCAACTCCAGCTTCCTGAACAATCTTTTTTTGTCTTTTCACTTAAATCCTCTCTCACCATTTAAAGATGGATGCTCCTTAGCATTCTGCTCTTAGCATTCAGGCATGCTTATTTGAAATAAGGAAGTACAAAGATGAACCACACATAGTCTGTGTCTTCTAGAAATCTTTAGTCGACAGCAGAAAACTGAACGTTTAAAAATTGTCATCACATGGGGGAGAAAGTGTTGAGTTCCTAAAGAGACACGGTGACAAACATGCTATTTTAATTCAGAACAGAGAGAATTTGCTTTCAGCTGAAGGAATAAAGGAGGTATCCTTTGGACCTCGTCTGAGATCATGAAGAGTATTTATGCCTAGGAATATGTATGATTTAATATAACAAAACCAGAAATGGGTTGGCTCTCTTCACCCTCCCCAAGTCAAGATACTCCTCTCCTCAAGTTCCTTTATCTGTTAATGGGTGCCAGTCATTAAAGGTAGAAATAAGTGCATTGATTCCTTGGCCCTGTTCATCCAGTCAGTTGCTAAAACCAGTAGTTTCTAATTCTGCAATAAGCTTTGTTTTATTTCTCCTTAGTATAAGTTTTTTAATCCCATCTTAATCTGGGCCTCATTTACTCTTACACAAGCTATATGTTTGGGTCAATCTTCAGATGAGTATGTAAAATTAAAAGTAGTTTTCTATTTCCAAATAGCAAACATTACAGCTCATCAAAGCTCACACACATTTCACAAATTAAACCCACAACAGCATTGTTTATACATTTAGTTCAATGTGCAAACAATGCTTCATTGAGGGTTGTCTTTCAAAAACAAATAAAAACTGTTGTAGCTTCTTTTTCATTTCATTGTAACTTTGAGGCGTATGCTTATATGAAAGAGTTAGCTTTTCATAGCTATAACCAGTCTGTATACCATGAGTAACTAGTTAGATTAACTCCTAGTTTAACTTTACTACTTGTTATGAAATCTACAGATTGTACCTTGGTGCCTTTCTTGATCAAACATAAAAAATAATATTTTATGTCTTTATTCAATCCATATTTCACTTAGATTTCTTAAATCTTTCAATATCAAATCTATTATTTCAATGTCATCAGCATATCTGTTAAAGTAGCATAACAATTTTTCAAGTTAAAACTCATAAGGAATCATTCAACTTAGTACTTATGATAATTTTATGTCCTCAAAAATTGCACACCATTTTGAAAATGAGTATATGTGCTTTCCTTTTGTTTTCAAAATTACTATATAACCTGAGATTTGAGACGGTCTAACAAACAGAACAGCTTTCTCTGTCTATTAGTTTGATCCCAAAATTCTAGTTTTCATTAATAACCCATTCTTATATATGAGTTAAACTGTACTTTCAAAAATCTTCCTTTCAAAGACTGTTCCCTCATTTTAATATTCTTAAATGCTTCCTCATGACTTTATGACTTGATGAACTTTTACTACAAGGCCTCTGGAATTTTCTTGTGGGGAAACTCAAGAGTCTCAACTGTTGTATTAAATAAAGAAATGAATACACTTAAAACTCCTTAAAGATGATTGCCTTTTGTATGGATCTTCCCAAATCCCCTAAGATTTTTCATAAACTCTTATCACCAAAACTCTTATCACATTCTAGATGCAGGTGAACCATAATTCTGAGCAAAGCTATAGCAACCAATTCTCTTATGTTTCTAACATGTTTCTTAACAATGTCAAGAAGTAGCAAAATACTTTGTGATAGTTTCACCAGCACTTGGGCCAATGTCTTCAGAAAAGCATCTAATTACAATAGTAATTTCTCCAGGCTTGTAACCAATAATTTAGAAGGCATCATCCCGAAGTATTGTTTGTGATACTGTCCCCTAAGTCTGCCTTTCAATTTACATCCTGAAATTCACCTGCATAGAGCTGTTCATGCACCCAACCTTAAAACATTCTTCTGAATGTTTACTTGGCATTTTACAAAGTAGAATGGCTTAATATCATTTAAAAGATTAAATACTTAATTGAACATTTCTCCTTATAGCTCAAAAACATTATATGTCCATTCTTTATTCCAGTACCCTGTTTGATACCAAACCTTAAATGTGCCATTTATCCTATTCTGTTTTCCAGCTAGATTCAGTTAGCATCTATGTCAAAAGAAAACCTTCACTTCTGTTATCTAAAATATAATCTTTGATACAGAAAGAATTTAGCTCCCAAAACAAATAAAAAGCAAAAGCAATAGCAAACAGTGGATGTTTCTTTCTCCAAATTAATTTGTATTTCAACATTTATTAATCTGCCAGTGATTTTATATGCTACTTACGTAGTTTTTGTTTTTATAATTTGGAAGTGAGGTTCATAAGCATATTACACTTTTGAGGGTCCCCTCAAAACACTTGTGAGTAATTGGGAATCACATTGAACATCTGCCAGATAGCCAACACCTTAACTGTTTGTAATGATAGATAATATATATGTCCAACAATTGCCTTGCCCACTTTCATTATTAAGTGTCTTCAAATATCACTAATCAATTCTGTGTGAACCTGGTAATTTATCTTTATGGTTTCATACCAAGGGAAAGAGGAGTTGGAAAGGGGGCTGCCCAATTAGAAGGAGATAGAAGGAGCTGGAGGTAGGGTTAGATAAAGTTGTTAGATGCTGATTCCAGTTGCAGTCATAGCTAAGAATACACACTTCCCACTTTTAACAATAATTCTTTTGACAGAATCCATAACCCATAGTCATTTAGCAGTAGTTCACGACCTGGTACATAGTAGGTACCAAAATATATATATTTGTAAGAAACAGGTAAATGTTACATAAATAAATTAATTCAATCTCAGATTTAGAACTTGATACTATTCATACTTTCTTACGTTTCCCAAAAGCCACCTCTCCTGTGTTTTGGGGCAGTCATGATTGTATACCTTTTGAGAGTTCTATATCATGGAACCACAGAATTGCTCTGGTATGCCTTAATCTGAAAGGCAGTGTTTCTTGAGGAAGGGAGGGTGTGGTTCTTTCTCTCTCTCTTTCTCTCCCTCACTCCCTCCTTCTCTCTCTCTCTCTCTCTCTCTCTCTGTGTGTGTGTGTGTGTACAAAGTGAAAGTTATTAAGGGCTCAGCATTCATAAAAGGATTGGCTTTTATGCTACTGCCACTAAAGTTTTAAATAACTTCTAATTGATGTCACATAGATGAGAGAAGAGGTCAGGATGATTACATAATACATACAAAATATTCAAATATTTAATGATGCTTTTAAATTTTCATTGAAATTTACTACTTTAAATGTACTGATTTGGCAAAGAATGACCTTTTGGCTCTGCAATTTATTATTTCTGTAACACTAAGTGAGTGTCAAGAAATTAATTCTCCCAGCACACTTATAGAAGCAATAATGGTACAAGTTGGTTATGAGCTGCTTTGATATGTACTGTAAAGCCCTTTAGTCTTTAAAGAGTCCTGGCATTGGGTAATTTTAATTGTTGGTTTCAGATGTCAGTCTCCATCAGGAACACAGCTGGATACTGATAGGTGTCACTTGGGAATAAGCATTTTGGATAACTTTGAAGTCAATTGGACTGAACATGAAAATTTTATAGTTAGTGGCAGATTTAAGATATATTAAAGTATCACTTAAACCAGTTACATTAAAAACTACCCAGAATAAAAAACCTCAAAGGAAAATTCTTTTCAGTGAAGTGTTAATCAAATAAACCAAGAAAACATTTTTCTCATACCCATAATTTCCATGCTTTGGGTCACTCTCACTTGGAAGCAGCCTGTTTTGACTTTCTCCATTTCATTTCTAACCATCTTCAGTTTTGATACAGTCACATTGAATGGTAGCATACTGGGGACAAGGGCAAAAGATGAGCTGGTTAGGTACATCAGGAACCATATGCCTTGGGAATTCCATCTGTGCCTAATTGTGGCTGATCACTCATGTGTTCACTGGAAAATGTGAACCTCCCCAGAAGAGGCAACACTAATGCCTCTTGGTCCTCTGAGTTGTCTGATTTATAAGAGAGTAGGTTAGGAGTGATTCACTTACTCTCTAAAGGGTGCAAGAGGAAAACTGGGCTATTTTCTCTCTGTGATTTTAATACTTCCATTTTGTTTCCTACTAGTAGGCTTAGATACTTCAGGTTTTAATTGAATTTTAGTGATTTATAGCAGAATTTTAGCACCTTTGAATCAAATGGAAAGTAACGTAATATCAAAGTCCACGGATTCTAAATCAGTGAGCAGATCTAAGTGCTAAACTAAGATCTAAACTAAGCTTAATGCAGTTAACAGTGCTAAACTAAGTGCAATATGCTGGCATCAGGCAATGAATTGCTGCTTCACAAAAAAGCAAAATAAAGAACATGAAAGACGAAATAATATGTAAATTGGTTGACTTCAATGTTTGATACAAAGTTAGTTCCACCACGTTCCCAAGCTTTCCAGTTCTTTAACTACTACTTTAGTATAAATAGCCTTGTGTTAACACCAGATAATTCACTTTATGTTTTATTCCCTCAATTTTCTCACTCTTAGAATTCTCTATAATGACATTAGACAGCTTCTTCCATTCTCCATGTAGATCATGGAGAAACTTTTGTTCCAAACATTTTGTTGTTGTTGTTGTTGCATTACTGGTATACATAAAGAGCAAAGTGACTCTGGGGGTGAAGACTGTTTTACAGTTGACTGTTCTATGGTTATCTGCCACTATGTCATATTTAGATTTATCTCATCATCCAATCATAAGCCACCTGTGAAACAAATAAATTTGTGATTCATTATTTAAATAGAGATACATAGATGTAAATAGAACCACAAAGATAAATGGAAACTCTGTAAGAGTAGAGACTATTATAAACATTATCCAGCCACAGAGTCAGAAAAGTGGCATGTATTTTAAGATATGTATCTATCAGTGAGCTATGCAGTTCTTCCTAATGATTTGTGATGACATTTCATAGCTCTAGCATTGAACTGTGTCTTTTGCCCTAGTATTTTCCCTTTGACACACGGACCAGAAATCACAATAAAAGGAGCACTACACTAGAATTCTGGGTATAAGGTTCACTTCTGTCACCACTTTTTTGTCATTTAATCTCTGTGTGTTCAGTTTCCTGATATGCAGAGAAAGGGGACCCAGTTCAGTGACTTATCACTAAGACCTACTCCAGCATCAGTGTTAATTTTCCCCTTCTCCCCTTTTAAAGTTGCTTGTTTGCCAACCAATGAATAAGCATTTAATTGTGGCCTAATATGTACCTAGGTTGGATCAATTTCTAGTGACTAAATAAATCTGTTTCCCAACTGAGGCCAGGGCTATAAATGGTAAGTAAATTAAACCAATAGCATAAGGACTGCTCTACTCAGATTTCTTCAGGTTTTCTGTGAAGTGTAACTGAGGGTCAGGAAGCAACTGCATGCCTGGATCTGGCTGCTAATTTAGCATCAGAGAGGTCCTGTGCTAATCCAGGATAATTACTTTTCAGGTCCAGCTTATCATGGGTGTGCGAATATGGCTGTCTTTCAGATGGTGTTCTGTAACAACTTTCAAGACATAGGGGGAGGGTGAGATGGGAGTCATGTTAGCAGACAAAATTACAGGTAGTGAAAAAGTATTAGCATTTCAATGAACTCACACAAAATAGCAGTGTGTGTGTGTGTGTGTGTGTGTGTGTGTGTGTGTGTGTATGTGCAAGTGGATATGTTTAATTAGAACTAGTATTGCCGTTGGCTGTATAGTTGTTGATAGGTTGAATGATTTGATTTGTTATGAAAATGCATTTTCCTCCAATGGTCTCACTTGCAGTTCTGTAAAGGATTCTCCAAATCTCACCATTCAGAATTGGTTTCTTTGAGTCACATCAAGATTTTCTTATTCACGTGAACATATCTTTTGACAGGTGGTTCCATTATCTTTTAAAGCTAACTCTTTCCGACTTGAAAGCAAAGTGGGCCACATTTTAAAAATGTATCACACAATAAAGACATGAAGTAGGGAAATACAGTGTTTGACCTGGAAAGGATAAAGCTGGGAGAAGTGTTATGGTGAAGATAAATGTAAACCAGGAAGAATCAGCAGGAGAACCTAGAACCCCAGGGAAGGAAAGTGAAATATGAGGATAAAAATACATATATTTAGTCAAGACCCTGTTGTGTTTAGAGTCCATTGCTGGCTTATGTTTTCATCTTGGGTATTTTTGGTAAAACGTTGCCTCTGATGCTTTGAGTACTTAAAGAATTTCATTTACATTTACGCCACTTGGGAATTTGTGTGAGGCAGTTTTTTTATTAATTCTGCTCACCTATTAATTAGGATACACAGGTCGACTTATTGATTTCTCTAAATCTAATGTAGAGATAAAAAGTTACTTTTCCTAAACTGTGATTCTAAAAAGATCAATGGCTAAAGAACAAGTAGAAGAATATTACCAAAATTCTAGCAAAGTTCTACAGATAAACGCCATGTGTTAAAGCTGTATGTTGTAATTTGTATGTAGTAAAGTATGCAGCAATATTAGTCAACTTTATTCTGTGCTCACTCCATGTGTTATATGGTTAATCTCTTTTAAACCTGACAACTCTAAAAGATAGATACTATTCTTAACCCATCTTACAGGTGAAGAAACTAAGGGTTAGGTAGGTTCAGTTACTCAGTCAACTCACTTTGCTAAGTAGGAAACATAGCGTAACTTCAAATCCAGGTCCGTGAGACTCTGGGGATGAAATGTTAAACAACTTGCGGATGGCTCACTGTGCTTGAGTGGTGGTGGGCTCACACTATTAGAGAACAGAAAAACAGACAAAAACCAAAACCAAAGAGAATTCATTGCCACGAAATTGATGGTACTATGTAAAAAATACATAGGCATAAAGACCCGGAATCTGGGGTTATATTAAATCAGAATGAACTGCGATGATCACTATTCAGCATTCCTGCAGCACCTTTCCAAGCATTTGAATAATGGGGTAACTATTAGGCAAATTGAGTTAAAAATTGGCTTTCAACCTAGGAAGCTATAGTAGGCCCATGACTAAGAAGTTTTAGAAAAACGGAAAATACAGCTGACAGTATTGATAGTTTGGCATCATTGTTATTCTCTGCATTGCTGCTTGCCTTCGTTTTGGAGGAGCACTGCTGGGAATATTTCTCCAGCTGGTCCAAGTGCTGTGGGCGACTTCATTCCTCTGGATGTCTTTCAGTGAGGCTGTGCTTTTGGTTACTGTGACCACTCACATAGGATAACATTACCATAGCGGTATCCGTGGCCAAGAGACATGACAGCTAGGGCTGGGATGTTTATTCCACTCTACCCTCACTTGTTCTAGTTCTCTGCAATTTTTTTCCACTTGGATTTTGATATTTGATGCCAACTCAGCAGAATCTTGACTTCAAATCAGATTTTTCTCAGGCCCAATTTAAGATNAAAAAAAAAAACATAAATGTGCAACAGGGATGCTAAATGTCAGTTCTAAGGCAGGATATTGGTCCAAATGATGTATGTGCCCAATTCAAGATAAAAAAAAAAAACACAATTGTGCAACTGGGATGCTAAATGTCAGTTCTAAGGCAGGATATTGGTCCAAATGATGTATGTGGCTGAAGACAGGAGTTAAGCTCCTGTGTTACCTGAAAGTACATAGTAAGGCTGAGACACAGGAAAGTACCTAGAAATAGAAACAACACTATGCCTAGACATCTTTCCTTTCCCAGGCTCTATACATCTTGCTTACCATCATGCTCCCACTACTAAATTTCCTTTCTTAAATATAATTATATCTATAAATTAGCCAGAAAAAGGCAATGATAGAAAAATAGACAAAAGTCTTCAATAGGCACTTCACAAAAGGAGGTACATCGAAAACCAATAACCACATGAAAAATGCTCAATTTCACTGCTGTTGGTGTGATAACAATTAGCAAATTACAATTATGTGAGACATTATATACACAAAAACAACTAAAAAGAAAAGGCAAAAAATAACAAGTGTTGGAGAGGATTTGGAAAAACAGACACACTAACATTCTGCTACAGGGAGTATATATTGGTTAACCAGATTGGAAAACTTTGAATGTTTCTCAAAGTATTTACAAAAGCTGAAAATATGTGTACTCTATGAACTGACAGTTCCACTCCGAGGTATATATTCACCAGAAATACAATGTTAAGTTCACCAAAACACACACACAAAACAAACAAATAAAACATGTGAAAAATATTCATGGCATTGTTTATAATACCCTCAAACAGAAAACTACACAAATGCCAATTAACAATAAAATGAATAAATTAAATTGTGGCATCTTCACACAATGGAATGCTATATTTACAATGAGAATGCCTCACAAATACATGAAACAATATAAAGAAATCTCACCAGCATAATGTTAAAAGAAGGCAGGCACAAAAGAGTATATCTATCTCATCATATATATATGTATGTGTATATGTATATATATATATACACACACACACACATATATATGTGTGTGTATATATATATATATATATGATTCAATTCAAGTAAAGTACAAAAATGGACAATATGCTGTGGGAAGTTAGAATAATACGTACATTTGGGGCAATAGTGCTTAGAAAAGGGCATTTGTTCTGTTCCTCAGTCTGGGTACTGGTTATTTGCATGTGTTCACCTTCATTGAATCATATACTTATGACTCATTCGTTTTTTCTGACTCTATGCTATTATTCAATAAAATTATTTTTACAGTGGGGTAAGGGAAGACTTCTTTCAAAATGTATTAATCTGAATATTACATAAATGAGGCTGAGTTTATCAGACTAGTTAGCAATCCCCTTGAAAAGCAGAGAGTGGGGTCTTGACACTATGAAACTCAGAAGAAAGTTTTGATATAGATGGGAAGATGCTAGGGAATCTGAAAGAGTTTTGAGCACAGGGCAGCTCACATTAGGCCCAGATGAAGAGCTATTGTAGATATAGTTGCCTCTAGGAGGTAGATCGTGGATCCTTTAAAGGGCCTGGATCAAGGCAACTTTGCAAGCAGGTAATAGAAGCAAGAGATTCTGGGATATAAAATGAAAATTCGGAGGGTAAACATTAAAAATAAACTTCCCTTTGTTTACAATTTACCCAGAGCTAAACTTAGCTCAAAATAAATTTGATGTCATTCCAAGTTTCATAGAGTTTAATTAAACTCTTTCTAATAATCCAGAATGATATCTTGCTCTCCTTGCTAGTTATGTGGTGTAGGTCTTCATAAAGAATTGTTACTTCTTTATTAACAATTTACTAGGAGGCCGGGCATGGAGACTCAGGCCTAAAATCCCAGCACTTTGGGAGGCTGAGGTGGTAGGATCACTTGAGGCCAGGAGTTTGAGACCAGCCCGGGCAACATAGTGAGACCCTGTCTCTACAAAAACTAAATTAAAAATAAATTTGCTGGTGACAGTAGTGGCACTTATAGTCTCAGATACTCAGGAGGCTGAAGTGAGAGGATTGTCTCAGGCCAGGAGATCGAGGCTTCAGTGAGCTACAACTGTGTCATTGTATGACCCTGGGTGACAGAACAAGACCTTCCCTGTCTTAAAAAATAAAACAAAACAAAAATAATTCACCAGGAGAGGAGCTGAGAAGGGAAGATAGTGGGTATACATTCATGTAGAACATTCATTCTATAGAGATTCTATACAGTGAAGTGTTACCAACAAGACTATAACATTTTAGTCAACATAAACTCAATGCAACTCAACATAGTTCCAGTACTAAATACAAG